TTTTTCCATTAAAATATATTTTAATATCAAATATGATATTTTGTATATCATATTTGTATAACATATTTTGTATAACACATTTCAGTAGAGGAGCTTTCTTTTGACTCTAAAAATCTTGGGGAAACATAATTCACAGACCAAATTTATAAAGCAATAATATATGATGTGAGAACATAGGAAAGTTCTATTTTTACCTATGATTTTTACCCTTAAAGCATACATTAACAGTGATATTTCTACTCTTTCCCACAATGTGGAGCACTTTCAAATATAGTAAGAGAATCATTAATAAAAGGCTTTTATCATCTTCTATTAATATTTTAAAGCAAAACGTGAGATCATAAACAAGACTACTAATATTTTGTTGTAATAGTTTAAGAAATAAAAATTAATGCCAAAAAACCTTATGATGAACAACATATCAAAAGTTTAAATAGAGAGCCGGCCGAGTGGCACATTGGTTAAGAACTGGCTTGTGGTGCCAGAGGGCCCCGGTTCGGATCCCACATATGAGGGCCAGTGACGCTGCCCTATACAGCTAAGATGCTGAACAACAGCTCAACCTGGAGCTGGGTTGCCTTGAGTCGCCAGTGACGGCATAGGCTGTAACCCCTGCTGCAGTGGGTTGCCATGGGCTACCGTGTGTAGCCAGCAGCCAGCATGAGTGGCCGTCCAAAAGCCAGCGACTGATCTGCCTCACCCGGGAAGAGCGCAATGATGGTGCCAACTTGGGCCAGTGAAACAACATCCTCCACAACTAGACTGAAGATCAAAAAGACAGCAACTTGTCTGTTCCCCTTCCCCAGTTCTCCAGCACTGCTCCCATCCCCCAATTCCCCAATAAAAATCTTTAAATAAAAAATTTAAATAGAGATGGAATCTGACAGTGTCCAGCTAAGCATATTGGAGCCTGAGCAAAAGGAAAAATGAGTGCCCCCAGACATGCCTGTGTGTATTTTTTTCTTTTTATGGTTAATTTTTCCCCAAAGTGTTAAAGTAGTTGAAAAAAATTTGAAACACTGTAAAGAAAATGTGGTAAAACTGACAGTGTGATTTTATGTTGAAATGTTTTCTTTATACCCAAACCAGAATTTATTATAAATTTTCTTTTCTGGCTTTAATGGAAGCAAAGTCATATTTTTTCAACTACTTTGATGTTCTGAAATAATATTGCCGTGAAAAATACACCAAACTGTATATTTAGGGGCACACATTTTTTTCTTTCGCCTTCGGTCCCAATATGGCTCAGCAGGCACTGGTGGGAAGAAACCCCAGTACTGCGCCAGAGCGAGAGCCCAGCTGCCGGAGCCAGTGTGCCCATCTCTTCCCAGTTCTGCACTCACTGATGCTGGTCGCTTGAAATCCATCACAGTGGGAATATTTACACCAAGGAAATTGGCAGCCCTACAAATCAGGATTTCTTTCTTCCTGGAGAGCTGGATGTTAAATGTTTACCAGCACACCATGCGAGGAAACTCAGTCTGCAAAGGAAAATCTGGGCTTTATGATCAGGTGAAAGGACAGTGGGTTCTTGGAAGGCCAAAACAGCCACTGTGCACAGTAAAGGTTTATCTGGGGATATATGAGAGCTTGAGTTGGGTCTTTGATATTAATTATGAGAGCACCTAATTTAACTACCCTGGTGGTAACCCCGAGTGTGGCTCGGGGTTAATTTTCACTGCCAGAAGCGGAAACCCCTATTTTTTATCATTATTTATTATATTATAATTTATGATTTTGTGTTTCAAACTTGAAACACAAAATGCCCACAAGACTCTTGTTTGGACAGATTTAAGTGAGTAATTCCTAAGAATTACAGGCCTACAATATAAAACAACAAATTTCCATGCAAAACAATGTACCACTTTGGGTACAAAATTACTGACATAATCAGACTGCCAGGGAGGTTAACTGAGCACTTACTATGTGCCAGCACTGTGCTAAGTACTTCTGCAGTCTTTTATTTTTATTTAATTTTATTTATTTGTTTTTTTTAACTTTATTGGGGAACAGTGTGTTTTTCCCAGGACCCATCAGCTCCAAGTCAAGTTGTTGTCCTTCAGTCTTTGTTGTGGAGGGTGCAGCTCAGCTCCAAGTCCAGTTGCCATTTTCAACCTAGTTGCGGGGGGGGGGCACAGCCCACCATCCCATGCAGGAATGGAACCGGCAGCCTTCTTGTTAAGAGCATGCGCTCCAACTACCTGAGCCATCCAACCACCCACCGGCAGCTCAGCAGTAGCTCAGCTCAAGTTGTCTTCAATCTAGTTGCGGAGGGTGCAACTCACTGGCCCATGGGGGAATCGAACCGGCAACCCTGTTATTCAGAGCATGCGCTCTAACCAACTGAGCCACCCAGCAGCCCTTATTTTTATTATTTTTTAAATTTCTTTTATTTTATTGATTTATTACTTTATTTTTACAATTAATTTTAAAATTTTTATTTTATTTCTATGTATTTTCTTTTTCTTGTCTATTTTATTTACTATTTTTAATTATTAACTTTTTAATTTTATTTTTAATTTAATTTTATTTTCTAAAATTTATTTTATATTTATTTTACTTAACCCACTGAGAGACACTGGGTTAAAAACAGACTCTTGGGGGCTTGCTGAGTGGCTCAGTTGGTTAAGAGCTTGCTCAAGAGTTTGAGCTCTGAGCAACAGCAGTTCGATTCCCAGCCCAAGCTGAGCAGCCGCTGAGCTGCCAACAGGTGGCAGGATGGCTCAGCTTAAAAGAAACACACACACACACAAAACAGACTCTGGAGCTAGACTACCAGGTTCAAAGCCCAGTTCTGTTCTACAAGCTGTGTAACTCTAGACAAGTTACTTCACCTCTCTGTTCTCCAGTTTCCCCAACTTTAACATGGCAGTGATAATAGCGGTACCCACCTCAATGGGTTGCTGTGAAGATTAAATGAGTTAACCTGAGTAAGGACAGCTTCAGGCACATAGGAAGATTTCTAAAGGCTTTGTTGTTTAATCATTATTAATCGTGTTATTAATTCACTCAGTGGTATGAGGTAGATGTTTGTATTGCCTCTTCTTTATAAGGAAGGAAGCTGAGGCACAGAGAGGTTAAGTAACTGGCTCCCAGTCACACATCTAAGACTGGGCCGATGCTATCATGCCTATGCTACAGTAATCCCCGGAGCAGTACCATGCTGACTAGCTGTCTGTCTGTCTGTCCTTTTATTCCTGATTTCCCTTCCCTCAACATTGCTCAGCCAGAAGGAATCAGAATGAACAAAACTGTGGTTGTTCGCACACTGAATCCAGAAAACCTGGGCCAAAGTGAGTTGTTGTAGGTGAGGGTGCGGCCTCAGTGGTGCTGCCGGGCATGGTGGGAGGAGACTGGTGCCATTGGTGTCCCCATTCAACCGCAGATGGTGTGCAGCGAGAGGAGGTCGAAGCCGCAGACCTCAGCGACCAAGTCCCCGACACGGAGTCGGAGACCAGGATCCTCCTGCAGGGTGAGATGCCCTTGGTCCAACCCCATGGAGCCCAGGATGGTGTCGAGGGCCGTGACCCCTGAGAAGGGAGCCCAGTTCCATCTAATTCCGGGAATATTTAACCATGGCGCCTCTCTCCTCCACTTCACCTAGAATAGCCTCTCCTGGTTCTGTTCATAGACAGTTCCAGGCAGTGTTTAGTTCAGCAAATAGCTTTTTCTGATAAAGAAATTTAAATGAGGAACAATAAAGTTCAGGAGCAGAAATTCTGGACCTACCAGTAATTGTCTAGGATGGAGGACTCAGGTGAAAAGGGACAGGAAGGAGTGGAAAGGCACCTTGCAACCTGTCAGCCGTAAGGTTTCAGGAAGAGACTCTTGGTTCCTATCTGTGATGGAGGCAAATATCTGAGGATTGTTAGGAAGATTAAAGGAAATATTACTTAGTGTTCTCTTAGAACAGAGCTTGGCAAATAGCATTAAGCATTATGTAATTATTCATGAGGATTGTTCCTGGAATTATTTTACCACTGTTTTAACAAGGGGACCCAGGGACAGCTCCCCGTCAGTCTCATGCCCCAGCCCAAACCTAGCCCTGACTCTTTGGCCCTGGCTTGTCAGACCCTGGGAACTCTGGGGGCAGCGCTGACTCTCCCCACCCCACAGTGGGTCTTGTAACTTGAGGACCATCTTTCCTCCTGGCTGCAGGGAACCCAGTGGCCCAGATGGTGGAGGACGCCATCGATGCAGAGCGACTGGAGCACCTCATTGTGACCCCCTCGGGCTGCGGGGAGCAAAACATGATTGGCATGACGCCAACGGTCATCGCGGTGCACTACCTGGACCAAACGGAGCAGTGGAACAAGTTCGGCCCAGATAAGAGGCAGGAGGCCTTGGAACTCATCAAAAAGGGTGTGTCCCTGCCTTTCTTAGAGACGCCCCGCCCCTCTGTGAGCTCTCTCCTCCCCTGAGACTCCACACCCTATCAAGGCCACGCCCCTCCTTGGAGATCTCCTGCTCTCCCCTCTTTGAGAACCTGGGCCCTCTGAGCCCCTCTCTGAGCTCCCTCTGCACTAAGGCCCCCTTTCCCCTGAACCCCCTTGAGAATCCTCCCCTGTCTGAACCCCCTCTCCTCTGAGTACTCCTTACCCCTCTTTTCTCTGATCCCCCAACCCCCTCAGAATCCCTCCCCACTTTAAGCTCTCCTCCCCTCCAGATATTTCTCCCAGTACTGAGTCCCTTCTTTCCTCTCTGAACCCCAGTCCCGCCTTTGATAGACTCCTGTCCCCTTTCTAAACCTCTCTCCTCTCCGGTGTACCCACACCAGCCACCACCTCCACTCAGACCCTGCTCCTCTCGTGACATGTATCTCTTCCCTGCAGGGTACACCCAGGAGCTGTCCTACAGACAACCCAACAAGGCCTTTGCGGCCTTCCTGCACCGGCCATCCAGCACCTGGTGAGCTTGCCCATTCTTGGACTTGCACCCCCATAGGCAGGGCCTGGATCCCGGCCTACAGTGATCTAGGCTTGTGTCCGCACACAGCCTGCTGCCACTGGACCCCTCCACCCACAGAGTCCAAGCACCCATTAGCTAAGTGATCTATAGTCATTAAGTGCAGTCAGTCTGCATGCAACACTGGGTCCTGAGCCCTGGCACACAGAAACGGCACACCCGGCCAGGCTCTGCCCCTCTCTGCTCATTGTTTAGCTAGGATGGCAGTCTCAAGATCCCAGAGCCAATTGGCTCATGCCCCTGCTCACCCCTAGGCTGACAGCCTACGTGGTCAAGGTCTTCTCTCTGGCCTCCAACCTCATTGCCATCGACTCCGAAGTCATCTGTGGGGCTGTCAAGTGGCTAATCCTGGAGAAGCAGAAGCCCGATGGAGTCTTCCAGGAGGATGGACCTGTGATAAGCCCACAAATGATTGTAAGAGGCAGGGATTCAGGGCAGGCTGGGGGCTAAGGGAACCTGTGTATCACAGGATGAACAGCAGAGGCTCCATCTGCCATTTGCCCAATTCACTGTGTGGGAGAGACAGAGGAATACAGGAGTTGAGAATGTTATTCCTCTTTTGCAAAGAACAGAGACTTGCAGAGTCCAATGCAAAATGAAAGTTCTCTGGTTCCCCTTTGCTTTGAAAATAAACTTAGAACTTCTTAGAGTTGTGGTTCTCAAAGAGTTCTCCCCAGACCAGCAGCACCTGCATCATCTGCAAACTTGTTAGAAACACATTCTCGGGCTGGAGCCCAGATGCACTGAATCAGAAACTTTAGGGGTGGGGCCCAGGAATCAGAGTTTAAATAAACCCCTACCCCAGTTGATTCTAGTGTATGCTCAAGTTGGAGAATCACTGCCTTATCCTGACATTTGGGGCTTCCAGCCTCAGAGCCTTCCCCCTCTCTCCACACTCCAGCTGTACTGCTTGGAGCCTTGCTCTGTCCAGCCACAGGGCCTTTGCACGTGCTGCTCCTGCTCCCTAGCATGCTACCCCTGCCCTCTTTGAGAGTTGAATCCTACTCCTTAAATTGTGGCTCTGCTTGTCATCCCTCAGAGACACCTTTCCCAACCTCCCCAAGTGAGTCACACTCTCACTATCCATTCTCAATGCCACACCCACTTCTGCATAGCACTCATCAGTTTGTAACGCTGTATCTGTCATTAGCTGTTTGGTTCATGCCTGCCTCCCTTGCTGGATGGGGAGCTCTATGAGGGCTGGGGCCAGTGTCTGGTTTTTGTCCACCATCTTGTCCACAGCACCAGAGATATTTGCAGAATGAGTGAATAAACAAATGAATACTCGAGTTTCATTCTTTCATTCACTCGTCCTGTGAGACACTGGGGAGAGATCCAGCATTGCCCTGACCTACAGGTTGGAATGTGGGGACACACTGATGACCCATCCTTGCTTCCTGCTCCACACCATAGGGTGGCCTAAGGAATGCTGAGGAGATAGGCGTATCCCTCACAGCCTTCGTGGTCATTGCACTGCAGGAGGCTAAAGAGATTTGCGAGGGACAGGTCAAGGTAAGTGTCCCCCATCTTCTCCCGCCCCCCTGCTACTCAGGGCACATCGAAATTGGAGGTTTTGTGATCACTCCATTTGCTTTGTCCTAGGGTTTTGAGAGTGTGTTGTTTGACCTTTAGCTTCCCAAGTGGGGAACCTCAGGATCCCACCTTCATTCAGCTGCTTCTCCCTCCTCAGGACCCCAGAAAAGTGATGGAGGGGAGAAGGCTGTTACCTTTAATGACCAAGAAAAATCAGACCTTTCTGATTCAAACCTTGCAGATTTGAAAGAAATTATTGTAGAAAAGAAGCTGTAGGGTCAAATAGATCTGACTTTACAGACTCTCAGCCACTTCCCCTCACTGGGCTTCTGTGTGTGCATCTGTAAAATGGGTATAATAATCTTTGTTTGGTTTTAGGACTCTCCGAGTTGTTCTAGATGTAACACACGTGTGACCTACATTATGCAAAAATTAATGGGAGAATATATTAAGCATCCAAAAATTTATCAAGTGCAAAGATGAAAGTGGCCTCAGGGACCCTGCCAGGATACTTTGTTCATCTCTCCTGTGTCCTTCATTCTCTTCTTGCCCCCAAATTCAGCTTTCTCTGCCAACCAGCCTGCCTGGCAGAACATGACTGCCTTCCTTGGGGAAATAGATCAAGGCTAGAGCTTTCTGATTCCTAGGGAAGAATTTTGAATTGCTCAGTCTGAGTAAGCTGATCACTTCTGGACCAATCAGCTGAGACCCGGAAGTAGGTCTTCCTGGGCAATTACGGCTTCTTCCACTGTGGCCGTGTGAATGAAATGGAGGAGCAGACATTCCTACAAAAGGCATGGGTAGATGTAGGAGACACAGCTGGGCAGGCAAAAGAAATAGTTTCTACTTCAACATAGCGACCTTGTAATGGAGTATAGCATAGGCTGTGGAACCAGACTGTTAGGGTTCAAATCAAGAGTGTGCTGAAACTAACTGAAATATTAATCATTTGTTAATATTCCAGGAATTTTGCAAGCTGTTTGTTAAACTCAATCATTATGAAAAATTAAATTATATAAACTTACATTTAAATAAATTAGACTAAACATTAAACATAAAAACAAAGGTAATACATCCTCAAAACTCATCATTTGTTATTTTACTAACTTTTATCATTATCTATGCTTGTGAGGTTATTTATGTCTGCCATACCTGTATGGTGGACATACTGTATAATACTGTGCTATACACATTTCTTCTCAACTCTACATTCGGTGACACCACATTGGTAGGTTGAAATCGGACATGGTTGTATTTACACTATGGAAATCAGCAAACACTACAAATCATGTCTGCCTCTGGCCCTCGTCTCTGTGGGTCTCAGTAGTCTCATCTTTGTAATAGGGATGATGGTGAAAGTAATATCTAACTAATAGGATTTTAAGGTTAAATGAGGGAATGTGTGACTAGCACATAGTAAGTGTTAGCTATGATGATGATGATGATGATGATGATGATGATGATGATAACTGGATAAGAGGTGGTTCCAGTGGTATGCTAACCCTGGCTCATTCTAGCTCATGAGTGACTTCTTTAGGCATCTCTTTCCCACTTCATGTTACGGGACATCACAATGTTAGCTTGAAGCTGGCCACGGTGGGAGTATTTACACCATAGTAATTGGCAATCTATAAACCAACCCTCGCCCTGGCTAGATAGCTGGTTGTTAAACATTTACCAGTATACCACTGGGTATATAAACTACACCAGCCACATAGTAGGTACTCAGCAACAAAGCAATTCAAGGTGGCTAATATGTCTGGGAAATCCTCAAAAATAGACAGATCCAAGACAGATATGTCTCAAGGACAGAAACCTTGTGCCCAGGAAGTGGTGCTTATGTGAACCTTGCCAGGTTCCTGTGGCAGCAGTGCCCACCTGACCAGAGTACCCAATCTTTCTCATAGAGCCTGGAGGGCAGCATCAATAAGGCAGGAGACTTCCTTGAAGCCCAGTACGAGAACTTGCGGAGACCATATACTGTAGCCATTGCTGGCTATGCCCTGGCCCAGCTGGACAAGCTGCACGGCTCCCGCCTCACCAAATTTCTGAACACAGCCACAGGTGAGGGACAGCATGATGGGCAAGGAGGGATGCATGGCTCTAAGCTGAGCTGGGATGGATGGTGCTAAGCTGAACTGGGGTAGACGGCTATAGGCCTGAAAAGTCCTCGTTGTGATACCAGAAGATTCATTGAATCTTTCAACGAGTGTGTGTTGAGCACTTGCTATGACACAGGGCTCTGATATCAGATTCAAGTTCAAATCCCACTCTGCCACATTCTCACTGCGTGACCTTGTATAATTCACTTAACCTCTCTGGGCCTTGTGTTTAAAATGACACCTGCATCATAGGGTGGTTGTAAAGATTAAATGAGTGATGCAGATAGAAGAAAGTCTAGCACACAGTAAGAGATCTATCACTGATGTTTTTATTGCCTTCAGTATTGTTAATAACATTATCATTATTTCAAGGGTAATTAGGATGAGATAAGATAACGGCATAGGGATTTTAGCACAGTGGGTAGCACATAGTGAGCACTTAATTATTTGGTTCCATATCAGGTTTATGCTTACTGATATAACATATCTGAATGTATACTGACGCACTTTAACACACAAAAGTTGGTTTCTTGCTGGTAACAGCTGTCCTTCATATGAGTGATACAGAGATTCGGGCTCTTTTTTTTCATGACTCTGCCACCCCAAAGCCTTGGAACCCATTCCATCCAAGCAGAAGGGGAAACAGGAAAACTGTGCAAGGGAGGTAGACCAGGCATGGAAGGGGCCCCATCATTGCTGTCCACATTCCATTGGACAGAGCTCAGTCATGTGACCATGCCTACCTGCAAAGACATCTGGGAAATGGAGTCCAACTGTGTGCGCAGGAACAGGAGGGAATGGTTCTTGGCAACAGTCTATGCTATAAGTACTTTTTTAGGCACATGGGACATCACAGTGAATATGGCAGAGCCCCTGCAATCATGTCCTCACTCTAGTTGAAGAAAGAAACGACTTAATAGATTTCTGTAGAGCATCATAGTCCTGCCACAGGAGAAGCACAGGATGCTTAGAGAGACAGAAGGAAAGACCTCACTCTGTCTTAGGGTGCCATTACAGCTGAATTGTTCAGGATAAGTAAGAATTAACCAGGAGTAGATGGAGAAAAGGTGCTCCAAATAGAACAGAATATGCAAAGGCTCAGAGGTAAGAATGAGCATGGCAAGTATAAGGAGTCTCACATAGATCAGTGGGGCTGCAGTTCAGAATTTAAATTGAGGAGTGAGGGTTGATGAGGGAAGTGGGAGGCCGGAAACAGCATATTGAGGGCCTCAAATGTTGGGCAGGACACCTGAACACCAAGAGGTCTCGTATGAGTCTGTTTTCTGGGATTTCTCGGAGCTATCTCCAGGCTGGACAGAGCAGTAAGCATGGGGCTGATGTTCTCTCTGCAGAGAAGAACCGCTGGGAGGAGCCTGGCCAGAGGCTCTACAATGTGGAAGCCACATCCTATGCCCTGTTGGCCCTGTTGCTGCTCAAAGACTTTGACTTTGTGCCTCCAGTCGTGCGCTGGCTCAACGAGCAGAGATACTATGGAGGTGGCTATGGTTCCACCCAGGCAAGTGGTCCCACATCCCCCAGGCAGCTGCATCCTCACCTCTTCTGGCTGCTGAGAGCAAAAGAAGCAGTTATTGGAATGAAGTGGCCACATCAGTTGTGTTTGGTTTTTTTAGTAGCAAATCTATCTGTGGATTCTAGACTAGATTCTGGATGCCTCAAGCTGTGTTTTGAGTCACCTTTTCCCTCCTGGTGTCTAGATCATGTTCTCGAGGCCTAGGTTCAGGCGTGAGCCTCTCTCTGGCGGGTTCTAGACCATGTTCCCGGTTGATCAGGCTCCCTATCTAACCCTATCTCACTGGGGGGTTCTAGACCAGGTTCTCAATTATTGTAGGGAATTAATGAAGTCCCTCTCTCCCTCTAGTGGGTTCTAGACCATGTTCTCAGTTATTCTAGAGCATGATCCAAGCCTCTCTATCCTTTATGGGTTCTACACCATGGTTTTAGCAACCACAAGCTTCAGCAAAGTCAGTCTCCAGTTTGTTCCCCCTTTTCTCTGATGGGCTCTCAATCACATGCCAAGTGTCACTTTTGACACTAGATCATATGCTCAGTGTCCCCAGCTCTGAGCTGAGCCTCTTCATCCCCAAGTGGGTTTGAACTGCTATCTCAGTCTCCCAGGTCACGCTCTTTCTCTCTCATGGGTTCTAGGCCACTTTCATGGTGTTCCAAGCCTTGGCCCAATACCAGCAGGACGTCCCTGACCATGATGATCTGAATCTGGATGTGTCCATCAACCTACCCAGCCGCAGTGCTCCGGTGGTGCACCGCATTCTCTGGGAGTCCGCTAGCCTCCTGCGCTCTGAAGAGGTACAGCCACTCAGCCAAACCCTCCTTGCCCACGTCCTCCATGCCAGTCAGGGTCTGCCAGGAGGCAGGAGGGAGGGCAGATGACCATTGCAGCCAGGGGAAAGCTGGGTTCCCAACAACCTCTCTTTTCTCTCCCCATTCCCTGTAGACCAAGGAAAATGAGGCTTTCACAGTGACAGCTAAAGGGAAAGGACAAGGCACCTTGTCGGTGAGGAATGGAACCCACACCCGCTTGGCTCACCACCTTCTCTCGGCCCCTCTACCCCAAAGGGACCCTCTTCCCAAGTCAAGTAAGCTGACACCTAGTCTCCTCTGCCATCTCACCAGGTGGTAACAATGTACCATGCCAAGGTCAAAGGCAGAGCCACCTGCAAGAAATTCGACCTCAGGGTTAACATACGACCAGCCCCTGAACCAGGTAGAAGGAATAAAGACTTTATCTGTCACCCTTCCCCCACTGCCATCCTAGTGGCTGCCCCTCTTCTGGGCCCCACCCCATCCTTCTGCCTTTTATGTTTCTAGTCAAGAAGCCCCAGGATGCCAACAGCACCATGTACCTTGAGATCTGTACCAGGTAAGAGATGGGTCATTGGGGTTCATCTTGGCCATCCCTGTGTCTCTAGTAAGTCTTCTTATAAGTATTATCTGTGGTACCTAATACTTTCTGGCAGTGTATTATATGGCTAGTGCTGTGCTGAGTACCCGCCCGGAGGTGGATAGCACAGGCAGTCGTTGCTTTCCATGGCAGTGTGAGACTAGCTATGACCAAATAAGCTGAGAGTGTGCAAAGTGATCTTAATAATCAGTGAGGAAAATCACAATCGTTCCAGGACCTTTACATTTTTTTATCACAACCTCGAAAACTCTCGTTATAAATGTCTAGAGAAATGAAAATTATAGTACGAGAACTTGTGTAGTGTACTGTAATTTAAAACACTAGAACACTGAAATTGAAGTTTTGTTTTGTTTTTGTGAAGCACTTTCCCAAAGCACTGTAGTTTGAACAGTGCCTCCTCTCTTCTCTTTGTATAACTTATGGTATGGAGCAATCATCTTTTCTATGACGTCGTGAATTGTCAAATTCCCTTTCAAGGTGGGTCACCTTCCACAATTTACTCCTTGAGCTTTCAATGTCATGAGGTATTTGAGAGTTCCTTTACTGTGAAGTTTTTTGCCGATGTCAATGCCTCTGGGACGTCTTTGATTTTTGGAGGCCACTTTCCTCATTTATGCTAGTGCACTTGGCCTTCACTGAGTTCCACTTGCTGCCGAGCTGGCCTCTCCCACGGCAGCAGGGTCCACAATCCCATGCTCTGCTGTTTTCTTCTGTGACTCCATATATGTGCTATTGAAATTTTACTTCCAGCGTTACCACTCTTCATTCCTTTGCCACACTTTTATCGTTGTTAGCCAGTTCCCTCTTTCAATGATCCATGTTGGTAAAATGTCACATGGGTTTTTCACTGGGAGAGATGGAAGTAACACAACTACATGCTTTGCTATCTGTGTGTGACCTGAATGGTGGGCGCTCAGTGACCCGTCACTGACAGACTTTGAAAGAAGGGAGGTAATTGGTCATTGATTGTGATGTGCACCTGTTATTTCTGTAGTGATTGGTGGACTGAAAACCTAGCACCAAGATTTGTACTCACAATTAATATACCATGGTGCTGAAATTAGAACTGTGTTGCTGGGGGACTGGTGGTGTTGAGCTAGACCATGGTAACGGAATCATGCAAAGTGAGACCTGCCCGTATTCTTGTCTTCATTTCCCTGAAGAACTGAGGCACAGAGAAGTCAAGTGACTCATCAAATATCATACAGAGCTGGGATTTGAACCCATGCAGTTGGGCTCCAGAACCCGAGCAATTAGTCACCTTGGCCATTACGATACCTTTCCTTTATTCCCCTGGGGTAGTGTTTCCCAAAGTCTAACATCCCTCTATGCTGCCGTGTGGGCACCAGAAGCCTTAGTCCCTGATCAGACCCTCTTGTTCAGGCACTGACCCCCAAGGCTGACCCCACCTGAGACTCAACCCCTCTCTCTCTCTGCACCATCCAGGTACTTGGGAGACAATGATGCCACTATGTCCATCCTGGATATATCCATGATGACTGGCTTTGCTCCCGATATTGGTGACCTCAACCTGGTATGAAGCCCTTGGGCTTGGGGGCTGGGGTCAGTGGGCATGAGCCTGGTGCCTGGAAGAGGCTGGAGGGAGGGATGGCGTTCCATGAGGGGTTCTTACAAGCCCTGCCCTTCCCCAGCTGAGCAGTGGCACTGACAGATACATCTCTAAGTATGAGCTGAACAAGGCCTTCACCAACAAGAACACCCTCATCATCTACCTGGACAAGGTAAGGCTTGCATTGGGACCTTGACCCAGAGTTGGCTGGCTTTTTCCTTCACTGGTCTTTGTCTTGGAGTCCTTGCTGGATCCAAGATTCTTTCTAGAAAAAAAGGGGAGGGTGCATGAGATGGGTTTTTCTATTTTTGTGTGTATTTTAATTTTTATGTAATTTCAACCTCACTGAGAATTTGTAGAGCAGTATTAAAAAGTTCAATATATCCTTTACCCAAATTCACTAATTCTTAGCATTTTTCTTCAAATATACATGTCTATCACATATACATATTTCTTCCTTCCTTCCTTCCTTCTTTCCTTCTTTTTCTTCATTTATTTTTTCAGTTTTATTGAGATATAATTGACATATAACATTGTGTAAGTTTAACTTGTACAATGTAATGATTTGATACATGTGTATATTGGTAAATGATCACCACAATAAGGTTAATTAGCACATCCATCACCTCACATAGTTGTGTGTGTGTGTGTGTGTGTGTGTGTTGAGAATGTTTAAGATTTACTATCTTAGAACTTTCAAATATACAGTGCAGTATTGATAATCATGGGATATTTTTAAGGGCATAGATAGCAATCTGTTGGCCAGAATTCAACTACATGGCCACACTAAATGGAAGGAGAGGCTGAGAAGTGTAATCTAGCTGTGAGCCTTGGAGAAAAAGAAAATAGATTTGATGAACTGCTCATAAATCTTTGCCATTTCCTGCCCCCCATCCTTCCGACCCAGATTTCTCCTTGATCCCTCCATTTCTCCACCACTGCTCCAACCCCCAGTACCTATGCCAGACTCTCTCCCATGTCACCCCACTGACCAACCTCCTCTTTTCCCCAGATCTCGCACTCCCAGGAGGAATGTCTAGCATTCAAAGTTCACCGGTTCTTTAATGTGGGGCTTATCCAGCCTGGAGCGGTCAAGGTGTACTCCTATTACAACCTGGGTGAGGAGCCATCCTAGGGCCTGGGGTCCGAGGGTCCCAAGGATCTGTGAGCTGGGAGCCTGGGGCCCCTGGGATCTGCGAGTTGGGGGCCTGGGAGTCCCAGGGATCTGTGAGTTGGCCATCCCAGTGTTCAGGACCTAGCATCTCTGGGTCTGAGGGACTGGAGTTGGGAATCTGAGCCCTGCGGGTGTGGTCTTGGTGGAGGCCCTAGCGGTCTGATACCTCCCACCCCCTTTCCCACAGATAAGACTTGCACCCAGTTCTACCACCCAGAGAAGGAGGACGGAATGCTGAGCAAACTCTGCCACAATGAAATGTGTCGCTGTGCTGAAGGTGGGTGCACACGAGCCAGGAAGCGGTGGGACACACGCACTGGATCCCCCACTTCCATGGGGGTGACCCATAAGGCTTGTAAAGCCCACACCCAGTGGACACCAAGAGGGATGGGCCTGGGGCTGGCCACATCCATGGGCGGTGGGCCCTGGGTGAGAAGTGGGACTTAGACCATGTTCCCTACCCACCACTGCGTAGAGAACTGTTTCATGCACCACGAGAATGAGCAGGTCACCTGGGAGGACAGATTGGACAAGGCCTGTGAGCCGGGAGTGGACTATGGTGAGTGGGGGTAACGGAGACACCTGCATGTGTGATCGTGTGTGAGTGATGGTGTGTGTGGCTTTGATTGTGTGTGTGAGACTGTATAATGGCAGATATGGTCATGAGTGGCCACGGCTGCATGTGGCTATGCTTCAGGCTGGGTTGTGGGTGTCGTGTGTGTGTGTGTGTGTGTGTGTGGGTAGGTGGGTGGTGAGGGGCCTTGACTGTGTGGGGAACTGTGTTTGGGTGTGTGCAAGTGTGTGAGAAAAGATGGTTGTGAGTAGATGTGGTTGTGTGAGTCTGTGAGGTTGTACTTGTGGTAGCCATGACTGTGTGAGATGGTGACATTGGATAGGAGTAGCTGTCCTTGTGTATGTGATAAGCTGTGGATGCTATAATTGTGTGCATGGTTTGAGACAGTAATTGTATGACCACATGTGGCTGCATGTGTTACTAGAGGGAGATGGGGACTGTAGCACGATTGGCTGTGATCTGCTTGGGGGGAACCATATGCCCAGGTGTGTGTGCAGGTAGGGTGTCCCCCAGTCAACCCTGCCCGTGACCCATGCTGTCATCTCCCCTCAGTGTACAAGACTGTGCTACACAAGAAGGAGCTGTCAGATGACTTTGATGAGTATGTAATGGTCATCAAGCAGATCATCAAATCAGGTCAGCTCCGTGCTGTGTCTCCTCTTCCTGCTGCACTGCCCCAGCTCCCCACCCACCCCCACACACACATTCAGCTTCCCTCTCCCTTTCCTCCAGGCACCGATGAGGTGCAGGTTGGACAGGAGCGCAAGTTCATCAGTCACATCAAGTGCAGAGCATCCCTGAAGCTGCAGGAAGGGAAACACTACCTCACATGGGGCCTTTCATCGGACCTGTGGGGTCGGAAACCCAAGTGAGTGCTGACCCTGTGCATGCGCCTGCTCACTCCACACACCCTTCCCAGGTCCCATCCTGACCAGCCCTCCTTCCCTCCCTTCCCACCAGCATCAGCTACATCATTGGGAAGGACACCTGGGTGGAGCTGTGGCCAGAGGCCGATGAATGCCAAGACCAGGAGAACCAGAAACTGTGCCAGGACCTGGCCAGCTTCACGGAGAACATGATCGTCTTTGGCTGTCCCAACTGATCCCCCATCACTGTCCCCCCAATAAAGCTTCAGTTGTATTGCATGTGTCTTGCAAAGTCTGGAGGTCTTTGAGAGAAAAAGGCAGCTGTGTTTCCCAGCTGCCTCACCTGCATCTCAGTTCTCTGCTTACTTGAAATTTCCAAAAAGGGAGGGAGGGAGGGAGGGAGGAAGGAAGGAAGGAAGGAAGGAAGGAAGGAAGGAAGCAAGGAAAGAAGGAAGGAAGAAAGAAAGGAAGGGAGGGGGAGGAAGGAAAGCAAGAAAGAGAGAAAGAAATCTCATTTGCATTCTCAGTCTCACCTGCGCCCTCACCATCCTTGTCCTCACTTGTCCTCACCAGCAGCTCAAAGCCCCTTCACCTAAGTTCCCACCTGCTTGCTTACCTGCTTACTTACTGCATTCTCACCTGAATTCTTACCAACATTCTCATCTGAATCCTTACCTCCTTCCTCTCTTACCTGCACCTTTACTGTATCCACCTGCATTTTTTTTGTGTCCTCAATCGGCCCCCATCTACATCTTTATCGGTAAGCTTACCTGTATCCTTATATTCTCACCTGTCTTTCCACCTACATCCTCACTTGTATTTTCTGTATCCTCGTCTGGGTCCTCACCTGCATTTTTACCTACATTCTTTCCTGGATCTCTTCCTGTCTTCTTTCTTTTTTCTTTTTTCCAACTAAAAGGGATTTCATTAGCTTATATAACTTGAAAACCCAGGATTAGGTCTGGTTCAGCTCACGCTTCATCCAGTGGCTCAAATGATGTTACCAAGCCCTGGTTTCTCACTCTTTCTCAGCATGGTTCTGCTGTCCTGGTGTTGCCTCAACTGGCTCCTCCATCATGGGAGGAAGGTGGCTGTAGCAGCTCCAGGTTCAAGTCCAACAGAAATGTCTCAAAGTTCTAGCATTGAGTATTTCTATTAATATATATTTTAAATTTTTATTAAAAAAATATAGCTCACATACAATATTATGCTAGTTTCAGGTGTATACCATAATTGTTCAATATTTGTATACCTAAAGAATGATCACCATGATAATTCCAGCAACCGTCTGACACGTAACCACACATTCGTAAATAATAGCACAATATTATTGACTATATTCCTTATGCTGTACATTATATCCCCATCACATATTTGTTTCATACCTGGAAATTTGAATCTCTGATTCCCCTTTACCTTTTCCCCCCTTTAAAAAATTTTAAATTACAGTTGACAATCAATATTATTTTATATTAATTTTAGGGGTACAGCATAGTGATTAGACATGTAATTTAAGAAGGGATCCCCCTGACCAGTATTCACCTGGTACTATACATAGTTACTATGATATCATCGACTATATTCACTATGCTTTACTTTACATCCCCATGACAATGTTGTAACTGCCAATTTGTTCTTTGTAATTCCTTCACCTTTTTCACCATGTCCCCCAGCCTCCCTCCCATCTATCACCCTGATAAATCCAGTACCCTTCTGACACCATACATGGTTCTTACAATGTTCTTTACTATATTCCTTATACTATACCCTACATCCATCCCCATGACTACTTTATAACATCCAATTTGTATGTATTAATCCTTTCCCATTTTTACCCAACCCCCGACCCCCTCCCATCTGCAAACCATCAAAATGTTCTCTGTCTCTATGAGTTCGTTTCTGTTTTGTTTGTTTGTTAATTTTGTTTTTTAAATTCCATGTATAAATAAAATCACGTTTCATCTGTCTGTCTTTGACTGACATATTCCACTCAGCACAATACACTCCAGGTCCATTTATGCCACTGCAGATGGCAAGAACCCATCCCTTCCATGGCCAAGCAATATTCCATTGGATATGTGTGAAACCTCCTCTTTATCCATTCATCCATTGACAAACATCCAGGCTGCCTCCACATCTTGGCCATTGTAAACAATGATGCAATGAACATATGGATGCACACATCCCCTTGAAATAACTAGTATTTTGGGTTTCCTTGAATAAAAACCCAGAAGTGGGTCCTTCTCTGTCTCTTGCTATAGCCTTTGTTTTAAAGTCTATTTTGTCTGGTATTCATATTGCCACCCCAGCTTTTTTGTTTGTTTGTTTCAATTTTCATGAAAAATCTTTTTCCATCCCTTTATTTTCAGTTTATGTATGTCTTTTGATATGAAGCGAGTCTCTTGTAGGCAGCATATATAAAAGTTTTGTTTTATTATCTATTCAGCCACCCTATGTCTTTTGCTTGGAGCATTTAATCCATTTACATTGAAAATCATTGTTGATAGATATGTAGTTATTGACATTTTATTATATATATATATATAAAATCTTTAAGAAGTCCCTCTAACATTCCTTATAATACAAGTTTAGTGGTGATAACTCCTTTAGCTTTTTCTTGTCTGGGAAGCTCTTTCATCTCTCCTTTGATTTTAAATGATAGCTTTCTGGGTAGAGTAATCTCGGTTGTAGATCCCTGCTTTTAATCACTTTGAATATTTCATGCCAGTCCCCTCTGGCCTGCAAAGTTTCTGTTGAGAAATCAGCTGACAATCTTATGGAAGCTCCCTTGTAGGTAACTAACAGCTTTTCTCTTGATGCTGTTAGGATTCTCTCTTTGTCTTTAACCTTTGGAATTTTAATTATGATGTGTCTTTGTGTGGGTCTATTTGGGCTTAGCTTGTTTGGGACTCTCTGCACTTTCTGGGCTTGTGTGTCTATGACAGAAAACTCCTTCACCAGGTTAGGGAAGTTTTCTGTCATCATTTCTTCGAATAGTCTCTCAATCCCTTGCTCCCTCTCTTCTTCTTTTGGTACTCCTATAATGTGAATGTTGGTATGCTTGATGTTGTCCCAGAGGCCTCTTAAACTATCCTCATTTTTTAAAAATTATTTTTTTCTTTTTGGTATTTCAATTGGGTGTTTCTGTTACGTTGACTTCCCAATCACTGCTTTAATCCTCTGCTTCTTCTAGTCTGCTAGTGATTCCTTCTAGTGCATTCTTCATTCCAGTTATTGATTATTCACTTCTGACTGAATGTTTTTTGTTGTTTCTATGTCCTCTTTCATGCTTGCTATGTCTTTGTTGTCATTCTCACTAACTTCCTTGAACATCATTATAACTATTATTTTGAACTCTGTATCTGGTAGGTTGCTTGCCTACATTTTGTTTCATTCATTTTCTGGAGTTTTCTCCTGTTCTTTCATTTGAGAGATATTTCCTTGTTTCCTCATTTTTATGCCTCTTTTATGTGTTTCTATGTATTAGATAGATCTGCTATGTCTCCCAGTCTGAGCTGGGTTGCCTTATGTAGTAGGTGCCCTATGAGAGCCAGTGGCAAAGTCTCCCTAGTCACCTGAGCCGGGTGGTCCAGGAGTGACCCTTGTGTGGGTTGTGTGTGCCCTCCTGTAATAGTTGAACCTTGAATGCTATTGGCACATCAGTGAGTGGTATTGACCCTCAGGCTGACTGGCTGTGGGGTTTGGCCACATCTACAGCTTACCAGCTGCTGTGTGGGGGTGCTTACCTCACTGAGGGATTTTCCTTAGTAGAGGCCGGTGCCTTTGATACCATCCACAATGTGCTTCTTGTGGCCTAATTGGGCAGTACTCTGCTGTGGTTTGAAGCCAGTCTCCAAGTATGTTTCTTGGTTCTGGGGCCTCTTGGGAGGGGCTCTAGTACAAGCCCAGGTCACCCACTGACTCTGACCAGCCAGGAGCTACCTAGTAGGAACTACAAAGGTGATCCACAGTTGGTAGCTGAATGTGCTGGGCCTGGAGGTGTGTGAGAGAGGCCATGCTGTGAACTGAGGATGTCTGTCAACAATACCAGGTTTGGGGTAGCTCCACAAAATGCCAGGACACCCCAAGACCTGCTGCCACCTGCCAGCTCCCTTTAGGGTCAGCTGCTGATAAAGCCTCATGTGGTATGCAAGTTGTGTGAGGCAAGGTCTCAGAGAACCACCAGCGTAGGATAAGTAATGTTCACCAAGTTAATGGAGATTCTGGTTTGGTAACAGTGCTGACCCTGGAACTACTCAGCAAAAGTCTCAGAGCACACCGAGGTCAGTCGCCACCTGCCTGGGTCATGTGGACCCCTGAAAGTGTCCAAGAAAAAGTGTCATTTGGGCAGGCTGGCTCCTGGCTGAGAATGTGCCTCCTGCACTGGACAAGTTGGATGGGGTGGGGTCTCGGGGGATCACTTGGGTGGAGGGAGTGAAGCTTACCAAACCAATTCAGATTCAAATTTGGCCATGGGCATGGGGGGAGGGCCCAACACAGGAAGGATGGCATGCTTACACCAGCTGCACAGAAGAAACCCACACAGCGAAAATGGTGACTGTCCCTTCAGTTTTCGCCCCAAAGCCACACAACTCAGTCTCTTGCTATATGTCTCTGATGCCCCCCCAAGTCATTGTCCCTCCGCTGGAGCCCAGGGTGAGTGCCTGAGAGCGAGTGCATCTGTGCATTTGCCCTTTAAGAGGACATCTGGGTTTCTCGCAGCCTTCCATCCCACCTGGATGGTCAGAATCCCCACTGTTTTTCACAGCTAGATGTTGTGGGGGTTCATCTTCCTGGCACCAGTATACTCCAGGCCTGGGACCCTGGGGTGGGGCTGGGGTCCCTCGCTCCTCTGGGGGTGGGCACCCTCCATGGCTGAGTTATCCCTCCCAATTCTTAACTGCCACACAGAGGTGTGAGGCAGCCCATTTCACATCTCCAAGCACCCTTTCTACCAGTCTGCATGGCTGCTTCTTTATATTCTTAGTTATAAAATTCCTTCTCAGCTAGACGGTTCTCCAGGTTGACTGTTCTACAATTTAGTTGTAATTTTAATGTATTCATGGGAGGAGGCAAGCAGAGCATTTATCTACTCTGCCATCTCGGATCTCTCCCTCTTCCTGTCTTCTTACCACCATCCTTAACTACATTCTCACCTGCACCCGTACCTGTATCCACCTGCCTATTTTTGCCTCCTTACCTGGCTCCCACCTACATCTAAATCTGAATCGTAAATTATGTTTATCTTTATGTTACAAACATTCTTACCTAGATTCTCACCTGCACAGTTACCTGCATCCTCACCTTCACCTTCCACTGCATCTTTAACTGTGTCTTCATCAGCATCATAACCCTACAGTCCTCCTCTCCTTTCTCACCTGCATCCTCACCTGTTCTTATAATTATCTCATGTATTCCTCATCCTCAGTTCACTCTCCCTGGATTTCCTATGTCACCTGCATTCCATTTGCTGTTCTCCAGGCTCAACAGACTCTCACAGTTACCATATTCTAGATGGGCCTGAACAGATTCATCAATGCTTCTGTAGGACTGTGTGGGATGACTGTGCCCAGGAGGGGGCGGTAAGGGGCAGGCAGGGTGATATTTGGGGCTGGAGCCTTGAGTGAGTGAGCGAGGGGAAGGCATGAGTCAGCAGCTGAGGAGAGAGTTTTGGGGACTATTTTGGTCACAGCATCAGCAGAACTGTGTGGGTGGAAGTGGGCATGGCAGCCACCAAGTGGAGTGGAACCACTGGCTGCAAAGTGAAACTGAGGCCCCAAAGACCTCTTCTAACCTCTAGTCCCTTGAGGGCTGTTGAGGGTGGGTTCCAGGCTCAGAGCTCTAGATGAGGTCATCATGGGAAAAACTCCTGAACCTGGAAGTCACTCCAACACAGATCCCTTCCCCTAAGACTCCCAGGTCCTAGAAACCCCCACCACATGCTTCCAGGACTAGGGAGGAACACATTCACAGAGCACCCCTTCTTCCTCCAGTCCCCAGTAGCCAGAAACCTCTGTGGAGGGGAGACTCAAAGATTCTCATCATTCACTAGGTATCCCAGCTGACATCTGCCTGCCCCCCTTATGTCCATCTCATTTCTTGTCCTGTTTATTTCCTCTTTCTCCTGCCCTGAGGTCCATTTTCTCCATTTCTTTAATACATGGGGTATTGTTTTGTATGAGCATCTATGGGTCTAGGTTGTGAACAGCACAGACAGGATCTTATGAAACTTACATTCTAAAGACAGCATGAAATTGATTTCAGACAGTGAGGAAAGGAGCACAGGGTGACATGTGAAGCCCTTCCTGTGATGGGGCCATCAGTAAAGGTCATTTAGATTGATGAATGGTTCATTTCATGTGTGAACTTAGCTAGGCTATGGTGATCAGTTGTTTGGGAAATGCCAGTCTAAATGTTGCTATGAAGTTGTTTTTTAAGCTGGGATTCACACCTACAGGGAGTTGACTTTAAAAGCAGATTTCCTTTGAAAATATGGGTGGCTTCATTCAATCAGCTAAAGAGACAAAGAGCAAAAAAATGAGGTCCTGAGGAAGAAGGAATTCCAGACAGTGGTATAGAAATTCTGCTTGAGTTTCTAGCCTTCACACTCAAGACTGCAACATCAACTCAACTGAAAGTCCAGCTTGCTGGCTTGCCCTGTGGATTTCAGACTTGCCAACCCATACAATCACACAAGCCAATTATTCAAAATAAATCTCTCTGTCTCTGTCTCTCAGTCTTTCTCTATATATACATAAATAGATAGATGATATAGATTAAATATAGATATAGATATAGATTAGATATAAATATACATTAGATATTGGTTCTGTTTCTCTGAAGAACCTGCCTAATACAGGTGATCATGGAAGGCTCCTGTGAGGAAGGTGTTCTTGAGTCAAGGTATAGATGACAAAGTGGAGCCAGCCATGCAGGGGTCTAGAAAAGACTGCTCCAGGCAGAGAGAAGAGTAAGTGCAAAGGCCCTGAGACACTTGTTGCAATGTGAGCAAGTGTGCAAGGGGTGCAAGAGAGTGAAGACCACTTAGTGTCTATTCTAAGCTCAGGGGATGGCAAACTTTTTCTCTAAAGGACCAGATAGTAAATATTCTAGGCTTTGAAAAATGATAGATAAAATCAAGGATATTATGAAAGTACTTTGACCCTGCCATGCCCTGTTTGAGTGGGATGGACCATCGGGGTGATGGGCATGCTTTCCTGCTCTGCTGGAGACATTCTCTGGATCAAGAGTGATCAACCTGAGGCTTGGAGGTCCAGGCAAAAGGAGTGGGTGAAGGGTGACCCTAAGCCAGTTTGTCTTTCTGCTCCAGGTCTCAGCCAGCTTCTCTCCCAAGAGCCAGCTGTCTCATCTGGATTAGCTGGCAAGAGGTAAGGCAATGTGTTGAGTCACCAACACCCAGAATGAGATTCATCCACTGGATGTCTGACAGTCACCAACAGAGAACATGCCAATGTGCAGGTAGTGGCCAGTGTGACCAGCACAGAGTGTGGACAGTAGTGAGGCATTGGCTGCTGTCCAGGGAGGTGGAGTGGAGATTAGTGGGCAGAGAATGTCACCCCAGTTGGGTCTCTATGGCTCAGTAAATTGCCACCCCTCAGAGACACTCCTGTGGCTGTACAGAATTAAGGGGTCAGCCAGATTTGGCCATAATTTGCTAACACCATAAGCTCAATGGAAGACCACTGAAAGACTTTAAACAGGGGAGAGATGAGAGCTGCCTTAAGTGTTTAAAGCTAATGCCAGCCATTTTACTCCAAGTTCGGTACCCAAAAGAATTGAAACCTGGTCCCAGACAAATACATGTGCATGCCGGCTCACAGCAGCATGATTCACAGTAGCCAAAAGGTGGAAACAAATGTTCATCAACAGATGAATGGGCACTCAAAAATGTGGTCCATCCACACAACAGCCATTAAAAAGCAACGAAGCTCTGACACACGCTACAATGTGGATGAACCTTGAAAAGATTATACTCAGTGAGAGCAGCCAGACACAAAAGAACACACATTGCATGTTTCCATTTTTATGAAATATCCCAAACGGGTAATTCCATAGAACAGGAAAGCAGGCTAGTGGTTGCCAGGGGCTGCGGAGGTTGGGGAATGGGAATAACTGCTTAATGGCTATGGATTTTCCTTTTAAAACATTGAAAATGTTTGGAACTAGATAGAGTTGCACAACATTGTAAATGTATTAAATAGGGCAGCCGGTTAACTCAGGTGGTTAGAGTGCAGTGCTTATAATGCCAAGGTTTCCGGTTAGATCCCCACATGAGCCACAGAGCTTGCACCCTCCACAACTAGATTGAACACAACCACTTGACTTGGAGTTGATGGGTCCTGGAAAAACACACTATTCCCCCCAAAATTTCTTAAAACATAAAATAAAAAATTTAGATATATTAAATAACACTGAAGTCCTCATGTTGAAATGGTTAGTTTTATATGTGAATTTCACCTCAATAAAATATAATATAAATAAATAAACAAATAAATAAATAAGCAAGGTCACACTAGCTAGGAAATAGAAAATGAATTTTAAGATGGCAAGAGGTAAACTGTGATGTCCAGCTGGAAAGCTGCTACAATCATCCAAGCAAGAAACGTTGGGCACTCTAATGTCTTAGTTCATTTGAGCTGCTATGACATGATATCTTAGACTGAGTGGTTTAAGCAACAGACATTTATCTCTCACAGTTCTGGAGTCTGGAAGTCCAACATCAGGGTGCCAGCTTGATCGGGTTCCTGGCTTCCTGCTCACTGTGTCCTCTCATGGTGGAGAGAGAGTACCTCTCTCATGTCTCATCTTATAAGGGCATTAATACCATCATTAGGGCCCCATCCTCATAACCTAATTATCTCCCAAAGGCTCCACCTCCAAATCCCATCACACTTGAGATTAGTGCTTCAACATATGGATTTTCAGGAACACAAACTTTCAGTTCATAGCATTTAGCTAGGGTGCTAGAAGTTGGGATGGAAACAGGTGGCTGAATTTCAGATCTGGTTTGGAGAGTGAATCATCAGGATTTGCTGAAGGGTGGAATGTGGAGACAAGACAGAGGGTGGGAGTCCAGGATGACTCCCAGGCCTTGGGCTTAGTTAACTGGGTGGACAATGGTTCTACCTCATGACTGTGAGCTACAATTAAAACTTGAAACTTCCATATGCATACATGCATGGTTACAAGCATGCACACAAATGTGCGTGCACATGTAAACACCATACAGATGTAAACACACATGCATACACATGTACAGACCCACACGTGCACACATGCAGACATACATGCAATGTGTGCGCATGCACACACCTTCATGCACACTCATGCACACAGACCATACACTCACATTTGCAAACATGCACACATACATGCATGCTTGAATCTGCACACTCATGCATACACACATACATACAGCATATACATGCACATACCCGCACACAGACATACATGCACACACACTCATATACACACCCATCCACCCATGCACACACAAACCACTCTTGTATTTCCATTGCTCTTATCAGCATCTAAAGCCCTATGTATTATTTTATTATTTATTGGGCTCATTGTCTTTCTCACCCAACTTGAATAAGAGCTCCACAAGACAAGGGACTTTTGTCTATCTTCTTCATGGCTATGTCCTCAAACCTGGAACAGTGCCTGGCACACAGGAGATGGTCAATTAATCTTTGGCCACCAAGTGAATGAAGCCACCAGAAGGGAAAGCTGGGGCCTCTGTTCTCCAGTTGCCACCTGAGTCACATCTTCAGCTGCCTCTGGAAAGTGTGAGAGACTGTGTGAGTGAGAGTGAGATGGGACAGGCCGGGGGTGGTGGGCAGGAAGAAGAGGAGGTAGAGGGGAAAAGGGGAGTGGCTGAACCCCAGCTTTAAAGGCAGCCCTGTGACCCACAGGCGCCTTTCTGCAGGGTGCAAAGCCCAGGAGTGTTGGGCGATTGTGGTTTTCCTCCCAGCCCGCAGAACTCAGCCGTGACAGCCCAGCCTGAGCGTCTCATGACCTAATCAGCACAGGCATGGAGGAGACAGTTGTGCAACCCTCGGTATTTGTCGTGGATGGACAGACGGACATTCCATTCACGAGGCTGGGGAGCAGCCGCCGGAGACAGCCCTGCAGTTCAGCCCGGCTGGGCCTGGCACTCTTGCTGCTACTGCTGGTGACCGGGCTGGCTGTGCAGGGCTGGTTTCTACTGCAGCTTCACTGGCGCCTGAGGGAGATGGTCGCCCCCCTGCCGGTGAGTGGGGCCTGGGGGCTCGAGGAGGGTGGGTCTCCTGTGTAGCTGTGTATCTCTCTGTGCGCTGATTTGCGGAGTGGGAAACAGACTCAGAGTGGCCTGGAGCAAGCTCATCCATCTCTTTGAATCTCAGTTTCTTTATCTGTAAAATGGGTATGAAAATAAGAGTGTCCACCTCATAGGAAATAAAGTACGATATTACACGTGTGGTGCCCATGATGACTGGCGCATGGCAATCATTCAACAAATTGAAACTGACACTCCTTTCTTACAATTGAGATATAATTGACATACAACATTGTCAAAGTTTAAAGTGTACAACACATTGGTTTGATACTTTTATATCATGATATGATTGCCATTGTAGCATTCACTACCAGCTCTATGGTGTCACATAATTATCATTTCTTCTAGTTCGGAAACATTTAAGATCTAGTTTCTCAGCAACTTTAATTTTTATAAAACAGTTTTGTTGTCTGTAACCCCCGGAACTGACATTCCGACATTGCTAATTATTATTTACAATACCTGGTCACTAATATTGAAATTGTCACTGATCCACTTGTCCAAATCTCTGAAAATCTGAGTCAGTTTCTGGTTGGCTATGAATGTGTCTCTGTTTGCTGGCCACACATGTCAGAACGTGTGTCCCATGTGGTCAAGGCTTTATGTCCTGTGTCTCCAGGTCATTTCTCCTTGTGTCTAGATCTGGTGGCCACTTGTGCGTGTCCATGCCCACGGGGAGCTGCGCTGCTGTCCTGTGTAAATGCACCCACATGCCATGCCCTTACCTGTCCACAGCCTGTGGGTTGATGTCTTTGTTTCTGGGTCTCTGTGTGTGCAGACCCACCTGGATCCTATAAACCACACATTCATGTATCTGCGTCCACGTGTGTCTTGTGAGTGTGTCACCTAAGTGTCCAGTGTATGTGTCCATACTTAAAAGTTGGCATTTATGTCCATGTGTCCATGTATCTTGAATATTATTTTATTGAATAAACCCTTGTAGAGTGCTTACTGTGTGCCAGACACTGTGATATGCTTTACACATATGAGTGCGTTGAACCCTAAGAGGCACTCTTCATATGTCCATTTACAGAGGAAAAAACTGAGGTCCCATGCCATGTGGTTACGAGGCCGCTGGGGGCGGGTTGTGCACGTGGCCCTGGGTGCGTCTCTGAGGGTGGTGCTGGGCCCATGGTCTGCACATGAGTCTGAGTGATGGCAGAGTGTGGGCCCCACAGGTCCTCACCCTGGGTTCCTCTGCATTTTCAGGAGAGAGATGCTGGAGCCTGGGAGCAGCTGATCCAAGGTGAGTCAGAGTCCTGGTCCCCACAGAGGAGCGAGGATGGTTCCCACACTGCCCCCACCCCCATTGCCCAACGCGATTTGCACAACTGGCACAAAGCCCCACAGGTGCCCTTCCCCCAAGCCTCAGAAGCAGAAGTTTGGGTCACTCCGGAAAGGGTGGGGTGGACTTCAGGGGATGGACTTGATGGACTTGATGACCCCTTGGGAGGCTGGCTCTTACCCCCCCAACCCAGCCCCCCAACATTGCCTTCACTCTGACCTCTGACCCTCTCTTCAGAGCGGAGGTCCCACCAGGCCAACCCGGCAGCACATCTCACAGGTGAGGGGGACCCCGGGTCCTGGCATGGGGTGGGGGTCAGGGTTTTTCTGGGGAAACCGGACAGACGCACAACGTGTCAGAGTATTCATTCATTCATTCATTCATTCATTCACTATTTATTCACAGAGTTTCCCAGAGCACAAGCACTGCCTAGGTCCACGTGTGTCTTATTTTATTGGTTGACTAAACCCTTAAGCAGGGCTCATTATGTGCCATGAAACGTAATATGCTTTATACATATGAATTCATTACCTCCTAAGCAGGCACTGGTCATATCTTCATTTTATAGAGAAAGAAACTGAGGCACACAGAAGTTATAAGGCTGCCAGACCAGGGTGGGTTCTGTCTCTGTTCCTCAGTTCCGCCACTTACAAGTTTTGGTTCTCTTGTGCAGTCACTTAATTGCTCCGTGCCTCAGTTTCTCCACCTGCAAGAGGGCGACAGAGATGAGTTAAGATGTGTAAGAAGGAAGTGGCTTCACCTCTCTGGCCTTGGTTTCCCGACCCGCAAAAGAGGTTGAAATGAGTTAAGATGAGAAGAAGCAAGTGACTTTGCCTCTCTGTGCCTCAGTTTCCCCACCTGCAAAGAGAGGATAAAGTGAATTAATACATATAAAGCTCTGAAATAGCCTAGCACAG